TCCGACCCTTAATCTATGAATCTATGAATCTATGAAATCTGTTTCCAGGTTATTACATATTTTTGCTTCTTGCTTACACTAAACTTTGAACCTCTCATTTTTAAGGATATGTGCATTTTTCCTGATTTATCCACAATTTTAAGTGTCACTTTGCTACAATTTAGGAATTTGAAAGCTTGTGGCTATGCCATTTGTAACTTAACTAATCTGCCTTGGCCTTGCAAAATTAATTCTGGTCTCACAAAATGGAATTTTCCTTGCATGATGCATTTTAATTTAAGAAATGTATTGCTTTCTGAATCTTGATAGACCAAGCAAAATGTGGCTGACCTGTGGTTGAATGAAGTGCAACTCTAAAGAAAGGTTTGTACTACAAAGCTTGGATCTAAATTTGAACTACTTTAGCATTCAGGCCATCTCTACTGAAAAAAGGAATTCACTTTTTCAGAGGAGACATGCCCTGGGGTCTCTGTGTGTGCATGAGTCTCAATGAGAGAAAGGGAGAGTTGACAGGAAAATCCAAGAAGGAAACTGAATATCACCATATCACATGTGCCCAATATTGATTTTGTATTTTACATATTCTTATTCATTTTTTAAAAATGTTTACCTAACATGTAAAATGAGTAACTCCAAGCTAACATAATTATGTGGTATTACTCTGTCATTTTTAGTTTCCCAACATTCAATTTGCATTTACACAGTGATATGTTTGAATGTATAGTTTAAGTGCACAGTTTTGAAAAACTCTAGAGTGTGTCTACATGTGCATTTATGCTGGTTTAAATTTACTGTGCAGTAAGTTAACATGAACTAAGCGGGAATAGGCTGGCATCTACACATTTAGGCATTAAAGTACATTAACGTTGTGTGTGGACTGACTTGGGACTAAATTTCCTCCCAAATCAGTCCACAGACACAGTGTGCCAGTAGGCAACTACATGGGCATTACTATGCAGTAATTAATCAGGCATAAATCTGATACCCGCATGATGTAAGTATCAAATTTATGCTCAAGCTGATGTAAATTGTCACATTTACAGACATGCTTGTGTAGACACACACCTGCACTGCACAGTAATTTTGCTTACTGCACAGTAAATGTGCATGTGTAGACATGCCCCTAGAAACCACTTGATCATACACTTTATGTTAATGTAGATACGTAAACACTGTGAGCAATAAATCAATTTAATTAAATACAAAAGCCTGTTTTTATTCCGTTAAACACAATGTATGATAGAATCAATGAAAATAGAATGGAGCCACAACCTCTGTTACCAAAGGAAGTTCCTATCCAGAGTAAGCGTGTAGATATTCTTAAAGATATAGAAAGTATAATAGCTGTTATCTGAAGTGCACTTTTTCACTCCTAATTCAAGATGCTTTGTAAACAGCTACTCGAGATATAGTTGAACTGACAAAAAACAGCACTCCTAACACTGTGTGTGTAAAAAGGTGTTGCTATCTTCCTAGTGTTCAGCTCAGCAAAAATGTTATTAAAGATTTCCAATCCTGTGTACTGCATGGCTCTGGCTAACAGAATACTGAATATTTTACCATAAATAACTGGTTTAAACCAGAGTGGTTACTGGGTATTTTCATCTGATGGCTGTGTAGTGAAAAAGATTCTTAGCGTATTGATTTCTACATTGCAAAATCCACAGCTATAATTAGCACACTTGTTGGCAGGCCTGAAAGTAAGGCAAAGGGCTAAACTAACAGTGTCAGCAAGACACATTATAGTAGACAATTCAGTGGAGGCTGCTTTGTGTTCAGCACTTGTGAAAATGTGCCCATTAACATAGGGGCCTAATGATGGCTTTGGAACCTTCATTTGATTACTGCTTTTGAAAATACTGGTCCAGTTAAACAAATATGAAGAATTCTTGAGAGAGAATGATAGAGAACCTAGCAGAATTGATGCAGCTTATATCTCTTTCTACACACCCCGTTAATCTATACCCAAAGCAAACTTAGATTCCTTTACAGTTCCTCAGACTTGCAACACCTGGACAATAGGTATATTATCCCCACCCCTACGTACTCATTATGTCTGGGTTTGTCCTGAAATCTGCAAGTTATATCCGTGTAACAAGGTTTGAACTTACTCTTGATGGTCTTGCTCAGGAATATGTCGAATAACTTCATAAACTGTACTATTTATGTCTTGCCTTGGGATAAAGTCAGAGTCAGAAACAGGTTGATTTGAAACCTAAAAGTAACAAATAACATTCCTGCTATGAAAACAGGTGTAAAGATCTACTTTAGAGAATGAACTAGAACCTTAATTTTTGGTTATTTGATTATTGTTAAAAACACATACCCTGGAACAACCAGTGGCGTCTGGAAAAGCAACAAATTCATAGATTCCAAAATCATCCAGAGCATTTTCATGCCCTAAAATTAAAACAAGCAAGCAAACAAAAAAAAATGGATCAGGAAGTACTGTATCACTTGAGCTGGGATGAATACATACTGCCTCCTGAATGGTGTTGGTTGTAGCCATGTTGGTCTAAGGACATAGGCAGACAAGGTTCTTTGGGTAAACATGATATCTTTTATTAGACCAACTAAAAAGTTGGAAAAAAGGGTTCTTTGCAAGCTCTTGGCCACAAACACCCTTCTTCAGTCATAGGGGAGAGTCTGCTGATGTTTTGTGTGGAAAACTGGGTGGAATAGAAGCCATGCAGGTCTGTGAAAATGCTAATGTATGGCTGTGAGGATCAGAGGGAATGGGAGACACCAAGGAAGCTAAAATATACAACCAACCCTTCGATACCACCAAATTTTCACTGAGGAGAATACCCATGATTACCACCTTGTAAATCTCAACAGGGCTTTCACCAAACAAAAATGCTCCGAGAGAGATAGATCGCACTTTTGAAAGAGCCACCCAGATACCATGTGAAGAACTGCTGCAGTACAAAAAGAAAATCTCTGTGAAGGTTGGTAGAGGGCCAATGTGTTGCCTATCTTCAAGAAAGGAAGGAAGGAAGATCTAGGTAACTACAGGCCAATCAGTTTGACTTCAATCCCTGGAAAAGGCTTGGAAAAAAATTATCAAAGAATCCATCAACAACAGGCTAATGGAAGGTGACATTCTGAGAGATGGCCAACATGGCTTCATTATGGATAGGTCTTGCTTGACCAACCTCATTTCCTTCTCTGACCAGGTGACACATCATCTGGACAAGGGAGAAGAGGTTGATGTCATATACTTGGATTTCAGAAAAGCCTTTGACTTGGTCTCCCATGATGTCCTCATGGTAAAATTGGGAAACTGCGGCCTTGACAACCTTACAGTCTGATGGCTGGCGAACTGGCTTCATGGTCGGACCCAGAGAGTGATAGTTGGTGGAATAGAGACAACATGGTGCATGGAGACCAGTGGCATCACCCATGGCTCAGTACTCGTACCAGCACTTTTTAATATATTCATACAGGATCTGGATTCAGGTGTGAAAAGTGGACTGGCTAAGTTCTCAAATGATACCAAGTTACAGGGAAGTGTGGTCATGCTAGAGAATAGGCTGGGGATTCAGGCCAACCAAGACAGGCTCACAAGATGGGCAGATCAAAACCTGATGACATTCAACACTGAAAAATGCAAGGTGCTCCACCTCAGGAGAAAGAACCCATATCATACCTGTAGTCTCGGCAGTGATACATTCACTAGCACAACCAAAAGAGGCTTGGGGGTCATGATTGATCACAGGATGAACATGAGCCACCAATGCATTGCTGCAGCTGGCAAAACAAATAGAACTCTGGCTTGCATCTACCAGTGCATCTTAGGCAAGACCCAAGAAGTCATCCTCCTGCTTTGCTCAGCCTTGGTGAGTCCACAGCTGGAGTACTACATCCAATTCTGGGCTCCACACTTTAGAAAGGATGTGGAGAAGCTTGAGAGAGTCCAGAGGAGAACCATGTGCATGAACCATGTCAAGAGATCAGGCCTTAATGAGAATAGGCTGAGAGACATGGGACTCTTCAGCCTGGAGAAGAGAAGAGAAAGCTCAGAGGGTACTTGGTGGCATAATATATAAGGGGTGTGCATCAGGAACTAGGAGAACATTTGTTCACCAGGGCACCCCAAGGGAAGACAAGGCCTAATGGTCACAAATTGCTGAAAGACTGTTTTAGATTGTACATAAGGAAAAACTTCTCTATTGTTCGATTCTCCAGAGTCTGGAATAGACTCCCCCTAAAAGTGATGCAAGCAAGTACTCTGGATACATTCAAGAAATGCCTGGATGCTCGCCTTGCTGGGATCATCTGACCTTTAAACAAGCACTGAACCTTGTTAACCTCACCACCAGAAGCAAAATTCCTATGGCCCAAAGCACACCAAATGGACCCAGACCATGCTGGGACAAGAAATGTAAAACCTGCCAACACATCTCCCCCACTTCCACAATAACCACATTCCACAAAAGAACCATCACCATTCCTGGATCTTATACCTGAACCTCCAGAAATGTAATATATCTCTTACAGTGCACTAAATGCCCTGATGGAAAATATGTAGGAGAAACCAAACAACAACTGCGTACCAGAATTAATGCACACTGAAAATCTATCAAAGGCAGAAATACTCAATTATTTGTGGGTGCACATTTCTCACAAGAAAACCACTCTTTTTCCAATCTCTGAGCTGTAATCCTCAAAGGGAATTTACAAGCCCCCTTTCTTAGATGAGCCTATGAACTTCACTTCATAAATCTACTTGGAAGAAAAAATCATGGACTAAGTATATATGTAGTGGAGCACCATTGGGGTGGTCACCACTTTAAGGGCTTGTGCAGGCTACAGAGGAGCCTGCAGTGGGGAGTGGCAGAGAGATACTCCTCCCTTGGAAGGATTTTAAGGTGGGGAAAGGTGTGTGGCAGCACACCTTTGGGTGCTTGCCACTTTAAGGGCTTGAGCAGGCTGCTGGGCAGCCTGCAGGTGACTGCAGAGCAAATCGGGTGGTCACATGACAGCCAGGAGATCACCTGGTTGGAGTAGGGCTGAGCAACTGCAGTATAAGAGCAGGGTCTGAGAAGCAGAGCTAGTAATTGCTGTTGGGATGCTGCTGAGGTAACATTGCCTGGCTAGAGAACTGCTGCTCCCAGGAACATTTGGGAGATCAGGGTAGGAGCTATGGGGATGCAGGAGGTTTCTAGGGACCCAGGGGGGAGTCCCAAGCCCTGAGGAAATGACTATGGACCTGAGGAAGAGCTAGGCCAGTCTAGGAAAGGGGCTTAGAGAGTATGGCTTACTGAGGGGCCAGGCAAGCCCCTGATTAGAACTGGCTGTGACTAAGGCCAGGGGGTCAGATGAGCCCAGTGGAATAAATGGCTGCCAGATATAAGATCTTTGGGGCTCTAGGTAAGCCTGGCATGAGATGAATATTTTATGGTGGGGCCCAGGAGGGACCCCTGCTGAATAGGAAGGTCAGCTCCTGCTAGACTGATCTCATAAAACCTTGACTGGTCAATGTAGTGGGGCTAAGGCTGACATGCCGAAGGGCAAGTAAGCCCAGTGAGGGGCAGGCCAGGGATGCGGAGAACTACTGGGACTCTGACTGGCCCAGAGGCAGGGTCAGGGTATTGAGGAGGCCGAAGGTCCCTCTTTGGGGTGGGGGGGAGAGGTATCCACTGCCAAGAAAGGATAGGAGGTCAGCCAGCATGCAGGGTGGTATGAAGGAGGCTGAAGCTCAGCCTCTAGATGGGAGGTATCCTGCAAGGGGCCTGTGAGTCATGGGTCCAGCAGATGAGAAACAGATTATGAGGTGGAGGCCCAGGCGTGAGCAGCTAAGGAAGAATATCAGGAAGCCCAGTGAGGGGAAGAAAGACCAAGGCAGCTAGACCTGCAGTTGGTTCTGGGAAATGACCTAAAACTACACTTTGCTGGGGAGGATGGTGTGGTGGGGCTGCCTGTGGCAAGGCAGTCCCCAGGAAATGCCACATCAGTACCTCCCTAGTAAATGGTGAGTATGGGACACTGGAAAGCCTCAGTCCCCACTGCTTTATGGGTGACCCTATGGATGGGAAAGGCTGGGGAGCACACCCTAACAGGAAAACAACATGGAGGCCAGGAAGGTCCAAGGCCCGAAGTCTGAGAGTGAGGCCTAGGTGAGAATGCAGGGGCCAGAAGGGCCTGAGGCCCAAGGCCTAAGTGAGAGTGAGGCTTAGTGGGAGGCCTGAGTAGGGGCAAGGTCCAGGTATGTCAACAGATGCCTGAGGCCTGAGTGGGCTATAGGCCCAGAGTTGGGTCCAGGCATGTTGACAGACACCTGAGGCCCATGGGGCATAAGGCCCCACAGCCCCAGTAAGGGGGTGTGAGTTGAGGCCCCAATGAGGCGGGGCATGTGGCCATGATAAGGCTCCAGACAGCTGAGGCCAAGTTTGGACCAGAGGCCAAGCACAGCCCAGCAATGGGGCCAGGGGAGTAATTTTGGATGCCATTTGTGATGCATGGGACATGGTAAAGGGAAGGTCGCAGCTGTGTATTGTGCCATTGGCATTAAGTGGGCAGCCTCCTGCATTTTTCCATCTGTTTTGTTCCATACATTAAAGTGTGGCAGGAAGGGCCAGGTGGACTGCCCTAGACAGGTGGGCAGGCTGATACTGACCCCTGGGAGGGCCCCCTGTGGCAATAGACATTGGATTTATGGCACATTATAACCTGCCTGCCAAATGATAACCCCAGGTAATCTGGCTGCATTTTACTAGCTACACTCTAGTAGCTCACCAGTTCAACATTTCCCTCCTTTCCCCCTCCAACTACCTGTTTCATACCTATTGTCTCCCATTCCCTCTGATTCTCTGCCATGCATTTGCATTTTCACAGACTTGCATTTTGGCTTCTGTTCCACCCGGAAGAACTCACAAACACCAGCAGACTCTCCCTATTCCTGGAAAGGGTGTTTGTGCCCAAAAGCTTGCAAAGAACAATTTTTCCAACTATTTAGTTGGTCTAATAATATATATCACATTTACCCAAAGAACCTTGTCTGCCCCCTGCCTCCTGAGGTATTCCATTCTCCAGATATTTATATCATCTCTAAGATATCTCCCCTCTACAGTGATTCAATTCTTATCCCCTTAGCACTGTGTAGTGCTCTAGCCCAATTCTTCTGAGTGTGTCTGAAATAGAAGGGGTGTTCTTAATCTGGATGGGCTAGCCAGATTTAGGTAATTTAGATTTAAAAACAGCAGAGACAAAACAACTTGGGTTCTCATTTGAGGTAACAGTTTGGCAGGGGAGTCTAAGGTTGGGCTCAAGCTACTAACTTGAATTAAAAGCCAGGTTGTCCCATCTGCTGTTATTTTCACCTAAATTGGTTATCTTGAGTGAGGTAATCCAAGTTAAAAATGCATGCTCTTTTCCTCCCTCCCTTACTTATTGCAGTACAGACATAACCTCAATTACTGTGGATGGAGTTGGACTTTGTGGTCAAATTTTGTTTTTTAGCGTTACCTGAAAATGTCTGTGTTTTTCGGTAATCTGCATCAGGGCTAGAAAATATAAATAAACCTTTTAGTTTGCAAAGAAAAGAAATATAGTCTGAAAAAATTACACTTTTTTGTTAGAAAAGACACAAATAAGAATGATTTATCTTATTACCTGCTCTGTAACTTCTTTTGTATGACTGAAAAGAAGAGAAAATGATAAATCAACATTTATGTTATAATGCCCAGGAAGAACATCTGTAATGTGATTTAAGCTTAACCTACCTTTGTATGGCTGATATCTTTTCCATAAGAATAAAAGTGTCATAGACAGGATCAAAAACAATGAAATTCCAGTTATTACTGCTAGAGACGACAAAGACTTCCCTTTCTGAGCAAGCTTCTCAAGTCCTATGTCAAAGAAAATAAAAAAAGAATTGTAGCCTTTGTGATTAGTGTTCCATTATATATACATTATATATGTAGTCCTTGGACTTACGACACAAATGGTTCCTGAAAACCACGTCTTAAGTTGAAACATTATAACTTGGAACCAATTTTCTCATAAGAAACAATGTTATAAATGTGGGATTGGTTCCCAAACCAAGGCCCGATACCTTATTTTCACCAAAAATACCCCATAATTTTGTCCTCAATCAATTTATAGATGAGTAATATAGCTACATTAACATATTTATATTGTAAATAGGAATCATATTGATTTGGAAGGACTTCTTTGAGGTGACTTTGCTGGACTTTTTCAAAGGCTCTTGGTTGGACTTTTTGAAGGAGTCTTGGCTGCAGGTTTTTCTGGAGTCTTGTCTGTTTTCTTAAAGAAAGTGTCCAAAGAAGTCTGGACAGATGTTTTCCAGCGAGATGAGCGATGCAGCAAACTTGTTCGCTGGTGTGGTGTTGCATCGGATCAAGCATTGTAAAGTTGAAACTGACGTCATAAAGTTGAAACAGGGTCTCAATTTATAAACATTGTTAGTGCGAAAAGTTGTAATGTTGAAATGTAGCTTGAAATGTTGTAAGTCAAGGACTGCCTGTACTATGCTATTGTGTCTTCGCTGAAAAAATATCTTCACACATGATTTATGGCTAGAGAATCTTGCTCATGCATGACTCTGGGATTATTATAAACTATGTAATGCATTATTATTCAGAGAGAGACCTGAAATAGAAGTCTGATAATGTTTACATTTGAGAAAACACTCCAAAATATGTTTAGTCCCCTTAAATGAGTGGAGGACACTAAAAACATTAGGGCAAACAGTACCAGATGCGAAAAACAGTTCATCTTCCACATTTACATTGGTATAATTTATACTAATTTTGTACACTGTACAGAGCAAAGAGATGACCAATTAGTTTACAGGAGGCACTGTTATAACCACTAGATGGCAGACAGCAGGTTTGCTTTCAGCACGTCTACCCAGGGATAGCTCTAGATACACAGCACGGACACCAGTGTAGTTTTACTCTTAAATTTTCCGGAAGTAATGCTACATTTGACTCAAGTAGGTTACACTGATGTAGGGCTGTATACTGTCTGCCCACTCTTTGGTTATGCTGATAGAAAGGCAGGCTACATCAGTGTAAAAGTGATGTATGCCCTGCCACAATTGAATTTAGCTGCCTAGCACCACTGAGAATGGACATACCTTATATATAAAGATGCAGGGATATTGCACCACAGAGAGAACAGATGATTTGACCAAGATTACACAGAAAATGAATATCAGAGTTGGAATTAGAAACCTTAGTTTCCCCTTGGTTCAAATGCTGTACTTTAACTACAAAAACGTTTTCCAATGTACATTGCTGACAATCCGTTTTCTTGGCTACACTCCCTTGGAGAGAGAGTGCAATTAAAATGAACATAAAGTTGTTTGACTGCGTTTGGTAATTGTTTTCATCATAGTCTGTAGAACATAATACTAGGAGACAATGGCACACTACTGAGCATTATGTCTGCAAGTCAAAACTGGAATTTGACAACTAGTGGTTGCATTTACACATCACCGTACGGTAACATTTGGAACTACTAAAGTACAGCATAGGATGGGTACTGCAACGTGTGCGCGGTTAGATCTTGCCATTAGGTCTCAGTAGTGACATGCTATACTCATGGAGCATGCTGCTACAGCAACATAGCTGGTGATCATGTGCAGACACATGCGATCACTACATTGCTGTAGTGCACTGTATGGCAAAGTAGTGCATCACTATGTCACTGTAGGGCTATGTGTAGATGTGTCCATTGGGAAGCTTCTCCCTCAAACATACTGGTCAAATTCCAGCCTCCATATAGCTGCCTTGTCTTCCTGTGTCCTGGCCAGCAGAGCTAGATAGGCATACAGTTATGAGCCCATTGCAGTTTCTGAGACTGAGAATGTCCACTGTGATGTGCGTTTCCAGAGAAGTCAAGAACGACTTCTGAACAGCTCAAACCATTTTGCTCTGGGGTTTCTAACCCCAGTGCTGGCTAGACCAACTCTTACCATTGCTCATGGCAGAAGCTTGCCCTTGTAGTTTCATTAGTCTTCACATGTGAGGGGTAATTTTAAGAGCTACCTACAATCAAAACTTTAGAGTAAAACAGTATTTTGAGTACTGTGGACAAACCATGAAATAAGAAGATAGTAATTTAAAGATGTTCCAGGTCAAGTGAATGAACACGTTTTCATATTTAAAAAGTGAGTATTCAAGCAAACAGCAGATAAAAATTTTTATTATACTCAGGGTCCCTCTACATGTGTGGTTAAGGGCACAATGGTATCTAATGAGTGATCCACACAACTGCACCTCCTGTCATGCCACACATGCATGGAAGGAGGCGCCATTGTGGGGTCACTTAGTAGATCCCATTACACCTTATTGCTGATGCAGAGGGAGCCCAATCATGATCCAGGGCTCCCCCTACACCAACTCCTATGGTTGCAAGCCTCACAGCTGATGGGGCTTTCATCGGGGCAGCATTCCCTGCACTTGTTCTGCTGTGAGCCCCACAGCTGATGTGGGCTGTGGGGCTCACACCAAGATCCGCACTAGGAATGCTGCCCCCACCATGAACCTTGTGAACTGTAGGGCTCCCAGTGGGGGCTACAGGGAAAATACTGCCCCTGCTGTGAGTTGTGGGGCTTGCAGTGGGGGCATACTGCCACCACACTATGAGCCACCTGAGGTGCAGGGCTCACAGACGGGGTAGTGATTTCCCCACTGCCACCTCTGTGAGTCCCACACTTCACGAGGCTTTCAGTAGCAGCAGTGTTCTCCCCTCTGCAAGTCCCACAGCTGAAGAGGCTCACAGTGGGGGCAGTGCCATGAATGGTGCCATCACTGTGAGCCTTGTTAGCTGTGGGCTTGGCACCAGGTGGTGTTACCTGTGGCTAGGAGCCCCTCAGTTGATGGGGCTCTCTGCCACAAGGGAGCACCTGCCCACATGTTCAATTAATGAAGTGATTGGAACAGGCTACAAAGTTATTACACATTTTTGTGGAATGACTTTGTAGCTTATCATTTGTTCGATCACAGCATTAATTGGATGAAAGTGTGGCTGGGTCACAACTGAAGTGTAACATGTGGAGGGGGTCTTATCTGAACCAGCTTCAGTGGGCTAATGAGTTTTTCTATGTAGTTTGATTTATAGATGCCAGGTTGGAGAGAGAGCATTGTTATAAAACATCTTACATTTTTTCAGCACATACTTTGTTTATTTTCTCAAAAAGATCTGAGTTGCAGAAGTTGCACTTGCCCATTAAAAGCCTGGTGCCTAGTAGGTGGAATATGATCTATGTGAATTTGAGTTCCTAAATCTGATCCCATTCCACCATGCTCAAGTCCCTGAAAAATGTTAACATGCCTACTCTTAGCCTTCTCATAACATGACATTATCTTCCCCTCAAGTCACATGAAACAATGAGCAGAAGGAGGATCCACCCATGTTTTGGGTTGCCTGCTTTTCAGGGACTTGAGTAGGGTAGGACAGGATAACACTTAGGTGCTTAAGTCCAGTGATGCACCTAAAAGGTGGAATCAGATCTGACGCTTAGACTCCAAACAGGAAAGACATGAATATCCTTATTTCAGACACAGTATTTAAACCAAAACCATCAAGGAGAATTTATGTTTGTCATTTATGTTTCTCTGGTTTTGTGTCAGTAGAAGTGTGCAGGTTTCACAGTTTAGTTTTCCAGTATAAAATGTAAGTGTTTTCTCAATTAGGATTTATTGTTGCATTTGGAAGGACTGATAGTAAGTCTTGGTACAGATCTCAAGGGAGATCACTGGTTGCCATCTGCCTCCCAGCATGCAGGGACTGCACATCTGCCACTGTATTCCTTTATGGAGTCCTCCTGCTTAGTACTAGAAAGACAGTTCCATTAGCTGGTGCCTTGACCCTTCTCTTCCTTTCTTGATAACTGCACTGATTGTGTCACCAGAGAATGAAGGAAGAGAACAGCCTTTGGGTTTTCTAGAGTGAAAGGATTAAAATCCTACCTCACCATGTCTGTCTAATGTAAGAAAATTCTTACAGAGCCTGTCCTGTAATTTTCCTTAAAGTGGAATCATTGCACTTCATACTCCAGTTAAATGCCTATTATCATAATATCAAGACTATCAACAAGAGCTGTATGCTATCACCACCACAGCACTGTGAAGACCACAAGTGCTAGAGTGGGATAGTGGCCATTAGATGAGCGTATATGCTACATTTCCTAGATATAGTGGAAGTTATGGCTTAATTCCCTTGCCTGTGTGTCAGTGCTTGCATTTCAGTGTATTTGCATACACATTTGCTTGAACACTGTCCTTCACAAGCAAACCACATGGAAATGAAATTGTTCATCCCAGTGGTGTACCAAGGCTCTCCGGAGCCTCACAGGCCCCACCCCACACAGACAGCCGTCTGCCCTCTCCCCCCGACCCTCTGCAGCCATCCGCAGCTCAGTCTTTCTCCCCTCAGTTACATGTAGGGAGCTGCTGCTTGGCTGTCCTGAGCAGCCCCACAGATGCAAAGGGTCAGGCTGGGCTGGGCCTGGTGGGGAGTGCTGCCAGCATGCCATGTCTCTGTGGGCAGGCAACGATAGCCCTGGGAGGGGTAGCTCAGCTGCAGGGTGGCCAACATGAATTTGTAGCCCACAAAGCCCTCCCAGTGCCATGGCCCGCAAAGGCACAGTGTGGCACAGTGCTCCTGGCATGGCTGGCCTGGCCTCAACGACCCCCCTGGCCCCCTTCCAGGTAGGTCATGACTCTCGGCCTGGCTCAGCCCCTTCTCCCCCAGACACAGCATCACCTGGCCTGCAGGCAGGGTGCAGCTCTTCAGGCAAGACCCCAGCCCTGGTCCCCCTCCCCCAGCCCCCTTGGTGGAGGAGAGGCCCTGCTTTCAGCTCCCAGGGAAGCGAGCA